CTTGATTAATTTAATTATTTTAATTGCAATAATAGCATTAATAATTTAATTAAAAATATAATTAATAAATGAATACTAAAATAAGTAAAATAAGAGAAATAAAGTAAATGCTTTATCCGGGAGCGGAGCGGGGCAGGGCCGGGTGCGGGCGGGTCTCAGTGTCTTCCTGCACCCACACCCGCACCTGTAGTTAAGAATCGGATTTCCCCCGCACCCGCACCAAATTAAATCGGGTTTTCCCCGTTAATTTCGAGGCGGGTCCGGGTTTGTTTGTCATCCCTAATCAGAGGCGCCTGAATCTATTATTCAAGTATGACTAGGACTGACACTAAGAAATGCAAAATTACCTTTTGTTGCTATAGAGCAAGAAGGGGTTGGAGACTCGAGGAGTTTGTACACTCTATCTAGTTGTTCCGTAGTAAGTGGAAGCTGAGTTGTAGGGGATTGCTACCTTTGATCAGAATTACTAGCCTGAAATGCACGACCACCTTTCTTCTTCCAATTCAGAGGTTTGCCTTTGAGCTTCCAACAGGTTTCACGCGTATGTCATTCGCGCTTGCAGTGATCACTCAAAGGAACTTTATTTGACCTTTTTCCCTCGTCAAGGTTCCTAGTAGCCAGAGCTAAACCTTCAGATTCAGAGCTTCGTGGTGTCTTGCCCATCATAATTCCTTGTTGTGCCTCCTCCCTTCTTATTTCTACAAAAGTTTCACGAAGAGTTGGCAATGGTATTTTTCCTAAAACTCTACCTTTTACCTCATCAAGGTCTTTATTAAGCCCAACGAGAAACATGAATACACGATCATTATCATGCCTCTTGAGAAACAAAACATTGTCTTCTGTACATCTCCAATTGTCATCATAACAGAGATCCAACTCTTGCCACAGTGTCAATAGCTCATTGTAATAACCAGTTACACTCTTGTCACCTTGTTTCGTATGCCATAACTTTGATTTTAAACCAAAAATTTGGGAGGAGTTTTGAACATCAGTGTATGTTTCCTTAACAGCTTCCCACACATCCCTTGTGGAAGGAAAAAACATGTAAGGCTTACCTATTCTAGTTTTCATGGAGCTTACCAGCCACGTAATAATCAAAGAGTTTTCAAATTTCCATTGTTTGTAATGAGGATCTCCTGATGTTGGTTCAGCTACTGCTCCTATTAAGAAATCAAATTTTCCTTTGTTATTCAACATTTGTCAAATAGTTTGAGTCCATTCGTTATAGTTATTCCCATTCATTTTAGGGATATTGACCTTGACGGAGTATGAGGAACCATTTTGATCATTACCGCATATGTTGGAATAATTATCACCAAAGACAATGTTCATGTTTCCATTGTTGCCTTCATTACTGCCAAAAACAATGTTGTTAATGTCTTCATTATTGTTGTCACTACTGCCACTATTTGTGACCACTGACGGTTCCTCTCGTTCGCCATCTCCGCGACCACCTCCGTTTCTGCGGTCGCCGCCGTTTCCGCAGCCGACGCTCGACTCAGGTTGCGATTGTTCGCCATGGTTGTATCTGATGTAGGCATGTGATGGGGAAGACCACTTGTTGTTATTCGTCATAAGAGGTTAAACGGGTATGTGAATCGGATCGAGTAAAAAAGCGAGTCAAAAGCTTTACGGTAACCCTAACTTAGAGCTATCGATACCATATCGGAAGAAATAGGTAAAATTTGTTGTAATTTTGTTCCTCAGCCCAAAAGCTGGTTTATATAATAAAAACATTTAATCCTCTCCTTAATAAAGAATAAAAAAAAAATAATGACAATAAACAGGAACAATTAAATAAAGAAATAAAATATTTTCCAACATTGATGATGAAATTAGCTTCTTTGAAACTGAAAATCTGCACTTAAAGACGAAGATGATAATGATGCGGAAGAAGAATACGGTCCCTTAGATATATAATACTATGTTTGATGAATATGTATGCATGATGAAGAGAAGAGAGAATGTGAGAGCAAAATCTTCTTACTCCTTACTTTAGTATATTGAATTCATCATCACTTAGTGAAACTAGTGTTTTCACTTACATAAAAGAACACTCAAGTAATTAAACTCTCTATCTTAAAATTGGTTACATTTTATAACTACTATAAGTAACATTTAACTAACTATCATAACTAATCTCTAATAATAATTTACCAAATTTCAACTTGTCACTATTTAAAAAAGATAAGATATTGATATGCATAGAAGAGTATTAAATTCATATTTGAAATTGGCTACATACTTATGCAATGCAACAACTTTAAGTTTTTTAACAAAATGAAGAAAAAAAAGTAAAAAATAAATTCACCAAAAAGGAACATAAATATGTAAATATTAAGTTATCTCTTTTTGCAGAAATTATACATGTTTGTCGTGCGCTTGCGCTTCCACTTAAGGGTGAAAATAGGCTGGACTGAGTCAGACTTTGTCAAGCCTGAATTTGTCCTGTTAAAAAATTTAAAGTCTAAATATGGCATTTAACCTATCATAGACTTATTTTTAGGCCTAAGTCTGACTTTTTTGAAGGTCTAATTGGCCTACTAACTTACTTAAAAGCCTACTTCATTTGAAAGTTTGTAAATAAGAAATTCTATTAATGTTAAATAGACTAAAAATTAAAAGATCATTAAAACTAAATATTTGTTTTCATTGTCTCATTCAAGTTTGCCTATTAGCATAAGTTTGGTGATACTATTTGTTAGAGAGAACTTATGGAAAAAAAATTATGACAACAACTTATGATATTGTTTATAATATTTTTTCAACTTATTTTCATAAGTTTTTCAAAATAACTACGTTTAATTTTCGTATTTTAATTTAAAATACAAAATACAATATAATAATAATAAATTTATTAAATTTTTTATAAATAGCTCAGTCTGATAGATTTAAAAGACTTTTTATACGTGGTCTAATCTCTTTAGCTAAATAGGCTTATAAAAAAACCTAAGCATTTTCTATTTAAGAAAAAGTCTTTAGACTAGACCGTAGGCCCTGATAGTTAGTTTAGCCTATTTCCACCCCTACTTCCACCTTATCATAATAAACATCCACAATTGACCAATTCACCCTTCGAAGAAAGAAAAAAAAAATATAAAAACATTCACACAAAAAACAAAAATAGAGAGACAGTAAGTGTTCAATTCTAAAAATAAAAAAAATGAACCTTCATATTTTGTTTCTCATAGTGCTTATTATTATTATTATTATTATTATTATTATTATTATTATTATTATTTTTATTTTATTTTTTTTGAATTTCATATGTTCATCATGGATTTACCTCAACAAGTATTCTCAAAATCCAAAACAAAAAATGTTAAAAAATCAGGTATTTTATTTTCTCAAAATTTAAATCTATTCTACACTGTTCCATCCCTTTGTTATTGTTTAAGAATTATGTTTTGTTTGTTCTGTTTCACTAAGATGCAGAGAAAGGGAACACACCGACACCAACACCATTTTTAAGTAAATTCAGTTCAATTGAGTTGGTAGGTATGAAGAATGGAATTGTTCCAATAATTGATTACAAGCAAACAGAAAAATCTACCAATAATTTTCAGGAAAATAACATCTTGGGTATAGGTGGTTTTGGGTGTGTTTACAAGACACAATTTGGATGGTTTTGAGCAACAATGTCTTATACCAGGTCTGTGTTCCAATAATCCCAATAATCCGAGAATAATACAATAGATCTCAAACACTTATACCAGGTCTGTGATCCAAGAATTCAATCTCAGAGAGTTGCATTCAGTACTGAAATAAACAATTGAAGTGGTTTTTGATAGAATGTGCAAATCTTCCATCAACACAGACGAAACATGGATAATCCCATCTCCTAATTATATGATTCTCCCATAATAAAATTTGGGAAGCATAAAAGTAACATGCATAATTCCATCTTCTAATAATAAATTTGGGAAGCATAAAAGTAACATTCAAACAAAAACCTTTAAACCTCTACGCAAGCTCCAATGGCACATGTAAATTAACACACTAATACTGATGTAAAATCCTGTTATTACGATATCACAATGATTACTTAAATATTAAAAAGAAATACTAGCAGATCCCAAAATCTCGTTAGAATTCCAAATCCAATGTAATATTTTGAAACTACACGAGTTCAAAGATTTGTTCCGTATAATAAACCACAATGGGCCAGTCACTATGATAAGCAGGTTTAAATGCAGTATTTGCTAGAAAGATAATAGAAATACTCAATTGCAATAAACACAAGTTGCAAGATAATAACAATCATTTGTAAAACAAACAACATACAAATAACTTTTATGATATGTAGCAATAAACATAACAAGTAAATAGTATTTGATATTGGAAACCCATAAAAACTTAAAAAGACCGATACAAGTACAATTGAATCTAGTAGAAAGTGGTAAATCAGACCAGCAAGTAACAACAAAAATATACATTGAGAATACATGATTCTTGCAGCATAATACACCATACAAAACCAATTTAACATATTGATGAAATTAAAGATCCTAGGTTATATTACATTATTCAAAAGCCACAGTCATAAAGTCCATGAAGTCCATACATGGAATTCTAACTGATGTTTTACTCGACAGAAATGAACAGACTATAAACCGGCAGAAATGATCGAATTATTATTAACGGGAGTCCTCGAATGAGTTCAACTCAAAGGGTTAACTAAAATCCAGTGAGATTTTTCTCTGTTGTGTAACAGAAAAACAGTACTAACCTATATAGCACTATGAATATGTATCTACAAATGTCGAATGCAAATACAACAGAACATAAAGCATGACATAAAACATTAGATTGTATCTCAAATTGGAAGATTATAACAAAACAACAGAGTGCAAACATTCCTAATTGATTAAAAAACAAGTGTTGAACACCATTAATTGACTACAACAAGTTCTGGCATTACAATTCATAACACAAACTGTATCTCAAATTAAAATTAACAAAAAATCCCTAATGAATTTAATTGCATCAAAGCAAGAACCTCAGAATCCAAGCTTGGTGCGGCGCCAGTGACGGCGCTTAGCGTTATACCTGAAAGAGAGAAACACTCCAATCAAAAAAATAACACAATCAAAATCCGAGTAACGACACAGCGACTGAAGATAAACGAACCTGATGGTGTTGTCGGTCCTCATCCGGATCCAGTAAGGGATAGGCCGGTTCTGCCTCATCTTCTTCGCCAATTTCTTCTTGATTACGAAGGTCTTATGTGACGGCTGAACCAAAAACAACAAAATCAGAATTTAAACAGACAATTCTTTACGTAATAGAAATTCACGATGAGGAAGAAGGTTCAAAACTATGATCTGAGAGTGTACCATTTTCGCTTCGGTGAGATGCTCAACTGCTCCGTCGAATGATAAGAACACTAATCCAAAACCCTAACCCTAATTCAGACTCTATTTATAGCTCTTTTTTTTCTTAACCGGTTTTTTGGGCTCGGCCCAATGAGCTGCTTTTTTCTGTCTTGTAATTCAGTCACAATCAGAAATATTCTACTTCATATCTTTTGATTTCTATTCTTAACCCCCTACGTTTTCCAAAAACAAATCATTATTTTTGGAATTGCAATTTATTTTATAACAACTTTTTTTCATGAATAATTTTTGTTCTTAAAAATATAAGGCTTGACTTTTTTATGATACAGAAAAATCATTTATTTAAAATATATTTCTTTTTAATTTCAAATTATTGTGAAAAGCTCGATATTATTTCAAAAAATTTTATATTTAAATTAAAATTATTATTGCAAAAATATCAATAAGTTTGTTGGAACTTAATATTTCAAAATGATATAGTTAACCTCGATACACATGAGAAAATGCTCCTTGTGGTGAGAAGCTTAAATGGCGAGTCTATTGAATATTGATAAAGATATTAGATTTATGTCCGCGCTTAAATCGTATGAGGTTATTGGTTGGGATTTCGACACTCATTAATATTGGAGGTAAGTTAAGGGATTTCAAGATCATATTCTGAAGAAGAACATGATGAATTCGACGACAAATAATGACAAGGGTGTTTCGACGACAGTGAAGAGTTGGAATGGGCGGTTGAAGTTTGAATAATCATTTTTTAGGAATAATGTACGTTTTGACAGGGAAATGGTGAAGATCTGCTCGAAGAAGTCTATGCATAAAAGGTGCTATGATCGAAGACCTAGAAAGATTTTTTGATAAATTGGAGTTTGACAAAGTCCATTAGGGGGAGCGTTCGATGGATGGAGTTTAAATGAGGTTGGTAACCATCTTTTGGCCTTATCTGTGTTCTTGGGACACGTGGAAGATTTTTGGGCAACGAAGTGCATGCCGTGGAGAACGTGACACAGTATGCCGAAATAACCGTTAGATGACGGTTATTCTTGATCTGGTATAAATAGAACATGTAGTATTTATTATTATGGTGTTCAAAAGTTGTACAAAACTCTACATTATACTCCCAGTACCTGTGTGTGTGAGAAAATAATGTTTTAGAGAAAATGTAGGTTTGAATACCTTCTTTTACAATTAAAGCCATTTAAATTCAAGTCATTTATTTTTACTTGCAATTTACTTCTTTGTTATTTATCTTCAAGCCATTTATCTTTCAATTTCTTTCTGCAATCTACATTATTTTCTTTATTTAAGAGAAATCATCACAACGTCCCATTAATAAAACATTGGAAAATATTTGAAGAACAATGTATAAATGTTCATGATCTTTAAAACCAAGGACTAAATTAACAACATATGTCCTAAGATTAATATAATCGATCATGTAAGTGACCAAAGACTTAGCAACTTTGGAAGACTAGTGGTTGTTTGTCATTTTCGACGGTAAATAAATTGGCACGCCTAGTGGGACAGGTGTTGTTAATTAGAATTTGTAAAAATATTTAGAAAGTTCTTCATTTTTTGCTTTTTGTAGTTTCGTTGCATGAGATTAAGAAGTGGTAAAGTAACCACGGATAACAAAGCGGGACCAAGAAGGAGACGTGTACGTGTAACAATCGAATTTTTCAGGTAGTAGTGAACCACCCCCTCCTTCGACGGGGGAAATAATAGTCACGTCGTCTGTGGCTGAAGTGGTTCCATCCACACCAAGTACAACGACAGTATCGTCGAATGCGTATAGTGGACTTGTATTGTCCTCTGTAAGAACTCGGGGGGCAACCATTAACTCCTCCTCCTCTAGTGGGCATTGGTTTATTCAGGTCTTTTGTGTCTGGATTTACAAAGCCCTTAAATGGTAGAGAACAACCATATAGTAAGACAACTTCAATGATGACTAATTTACATAATGCAATTGTAGCGTTCGACTATCTAGTGGTGAATACGTTTTCGCCAATGCAGGGGTCTGGTTCAACTGTAAAAAATATGAGTCAAAATAATTCATCCTCAGGGATGACATTTTCCACCCAGATGCCTAATTTTAAATATGTAATTCATTCAAATTGTAATATGTGTTTTTTATAATGAAATTTTTAAACAAAAAATGACTTCTTTCTAAAATGAATGATTTGGTTTTTTATTTTACATAAACTAAAAAATTGTAGAAAGAAAAAAAAAAGTAATTTTACTAAAATGTATTTACCGCGTATTGATATATTGACTTTTATCATAAATATTGAGTTAAAAGTGATGTAAATAGTGTTAGTTAGAAGTCACAGTTTAAAAAAATAATTGTTGTTTTAAAAATAAAAAAATATTAGAAAGTAATAGGCAAAATATATTAGTTTCCCTATCTAAGAACCCACAGCATCAATCTGAACACCAGGGTACCTATCCTTAATCAACTAAATAGTTGGAGAAAACAACAAATTCTCATAAACACCACCAGGGGTTGTGGTTGCCTATTCTTTAGCTGCTGCCACTTTATCACCAATGTCATAAACTCCGTAACAGGCTTTAGACCATAGTAAGCAACACCAACTCCAATCCCAATAAACCCAGCATGCGTTATATTAAATGATCATTATATTTGAACAAATTGTCTTCGACTGAAGTGCCTATCGATTATTCAAACTTGGGATTTATACAATACAATTTCTATGAATAGAAGCATTAACAACATTTGAATGTGCAGGGGCTAACAAGACAATATGGTTAAATATATTAATCATCAAGGAATGATAAAATAAATTAAGGCTGACTGACAACTAAATTGTATACTATATATCAGCTGCTCTTCTATCATAAGATGTAACTAGAGGAGGTAGTTGCCTACTTCTGACCGAAGTCACATCCTCAACATTAGTAACTCCGCAATGCTTTAGTTTCACCTTTAACTGACGCCACAAATTCAATTAACTGGCATAAACTTAGCGCAATTCAGAATAAATAACTATAAACACAACTCAACTAAAGCTAGCGGAATTATATTTGAATGAGTCGCACACTCAAAGATACATCAGAGTCTCCATGATCTTTATTTAGTCTCAAAGAAAAGAGAAAATATCGATAAAACTCAAGGGAAGAGAAACGGAAAAGGGGGTCGGTTATACAAAAGGAAGGTACTAACACCTTAAGCACCCGTCGTACCTGACGGGAACAATTTCGCTCACTTCTAGACTTGGATGAGTTATCTATCTAAAGGCTTCTAACTAAAAAAAAAAAGGAAAGAGAGGAAAGAAAAAGGAAAAGAATGTGCTCACGGAGGATTGGGGTCCTCGTGCCTACGTACCCTCATAGTGCAATGAGGAAGTCAAGGCTCCGTAGTTCAAGGTACCAAGGAAAAGAAGAAGATCTGGACGACCCAGAGAGACAGAAGATCTGACTCGTCAAGGTTTCACAATCTTGTCCCCTCGTAGTGCAATGAGGAAATCAGAGCCTACGTAGTTCGGGGAACTAACGCTGAAAAAAGAAAGGAAAAGAGACGGCGTCAAAGCCAAGAGCAAAAAGAGACAGAAAACAAGACCTAACTGGAGAATGCAAAGGGAGTGGTGTCAAAATCGAAAAAGAAGATAAAGGAAAACTCTGCTGATGAATGCAAAAGAAAAACAAGAACTCTGCCGGAGAATGTAGGGAGAAAAAAAGATGACTCAACTGGGGAGAAAACAAAAGAATGGCGACGGGGCCGGGAAAAAGAGACAAGCATCAATAAATAACTAGCAGACAGTGATTAACCGAAGAAAAACAAGAGAAAGATTCTATGGGAAAAGTCAAAAGGTTGGTGTCGGCAGACGAGCTGCGAGGGACCGGAAGAAAGAGAGTAATGAACCAAAGACAGGTGCTAACTCTGAGGGGATTGTGGTATATTAACTGATAAATAGTGGTTAACCGAGAAAAAGAGAAAGAAAGTGGTTTTAACCGGAAGACGGTGATCAACCAAAAGAAACGGGTGTGGAATCAAGCAAAGGTTGTGACCCCAAAGAAACGGTACGCTGACTGAATAAACAGTACTCGACCAAAGGAAAGGGTATTCGAACCGATCAAAGGTTACTAACCCCAAGCTGGCAGTATCCAAATCAAAGAAAGGTTACTAACTGTGGGAAATTTGGCGTCTAACAGGCGGACTGTTATAGACCGAAAAGAATTAGTGATTAACCAAAAGAAGGTGATTAAATCGAAAGAAAACGGGTTTTAACAGATGGGCCGTGATCAACCAAAGAATGGGCGATTAACCCAAAGAAAACTCAGTGCTAACAGAAAGACTGTGATTAAGTGAGGAAAGGCAAATGGTGTTTAACTGGAAGGCGGTGATTAACCAAACAGGAAGGAAAGAGAACCAAGAGAAGGTTGCAAATTCTGGTGAGGATTAGGTTTCAATAGAAAGACTGTGTTAAATCCAAGAGAGAAGGTCAACTTCGCTAGGGACCGAATGATTGATCAACCACGCAAGGATTTTGAATAAAAAATCTCAAAGGGAATCAAAGAAGGAATGACCACAAGAGAAAACACAAGGAGAAAACTACTTCCAAAGAGGAGGTAAGGGTGCAAGTGGTCAAGGATCGGCTCGACTGGAGGAACATGGGAAACCATAATAAGGAGATAGAGTCGACTACTCCAGGCACAAGGTCATTCGTCCCCTACCTAAAATAGTCAGAATGAGTGTAGGAATTCTCCACTCTCGTTCCTTCTCTAACACCAAAGTGCGGTGCAAGAAACGAAACGGACAACACAACTGCGCAAAATTTGTACAGTGCTCCAATGAATTGCAAATCTTTAACTCTGCGGGAGAAAGAGAAGACAAAGCTTAAAAAGATCCAAAGGAGGAGAAAAAGGAAGATCGACTAATCGAAATGAAGTTTCGATTAATTAATCAAAAGGCAAAGATGTGCTAACAATTTTCCAAAGGAATGGAAAATCGTTAAAGCAAAAAGAGAAGTTATTGATTAAATAAG